GATAACGTTAAATGTTATTATAAAGCTATTAACTATGAGTATAATTATGATGACGTTAGTATACAGCATAGCAATATGAGTATATAATGTTTTAACTACACTGTGTAACTGCCCGAGTATATAATAGCTTTATAATACAGCCTAGCAATCATTGATAATGATAGTATTACACATACTACATTGTATAGTTTTAGTGCATGCATATGTTATTACAGGGTAAAGCAGCTTGAGTATATGATGTTATAACAACAATATATGGTTTGAACATACGAAGGCGTAATTACAGTGTAAAACAGCTTAACTATATGATATTATTATTACTCTGAATAGTTTGAACATACGAAGGCGTAATTACAGTGTAAAACAGCTTGAGTATACGATGGTGTTATTACACCGAAGAACAGTCTGAGTATATGATAGCGTTTTTATACAGCATAGTAATCTGTGTATACGATGTTGTTACTGAACTGTATACACGTCTGATTTCATCAACGCCCCTTATTACACAACATAGCAGTCTGATAATAACCAATTAACACTGTTTACTATCTAAAAAGCATCAAAAGGGCACAAAGACATCAACGTAACCGAACTTTAAACTCAAAACCGATACAACTTGGTAAAAAAATGAACAAACAATATAGTAACATGGTAATAATAATTTGAAATGTGATATAAAAATCCTAATCGTCTTCTGTTTGATATACAGAAGAAATGGTCAATGTCATACCTTTAGAAAGATAAGCTATAGTTCGATTTCAGTTCTGAAACCCTAGATTAACAAAATGTTGGTTCATGCAATAGTTTTCTGAGGAACGAACTGAAGTGAAAATGTAAGGAAAATCATCAACTTCTTTTGTATTTTTTACTAACAGTGTCGAATTTTTTTTATGATTAATTATGATAATATGTTTACGTAAACTTTCACATATATTACTAACGACAGAGAATGGAAAAAAATCAAACAAATTTAATTCGATCTAGTATCTAGTAAAACATAAATAACGAAAACAAGGTATGTGAATATAAATCAAAATTAGGATTTCAAATCATTAAGATTTCACTATGCTTTTTCCGTGATATAAGTGTTCTGGGGAAAACATCACAACACATACTTGCACTTTCACAAACATAGAACATAACTTTTGTAACGTATTATATAATGGCAAACGTAATAAATGTATATAAACAAGGATATAACAAAGGTAAAATAACGTTATCAAAAACATTGGTGATATTGATTGTGATATATGACTGGTTCTGCTTCAACAACAAAGGACATGTTTTACTTATTGACTGCAATATGAAATCAACGAATTTCTTTTTTTTAAGTAATTCACGTAAGACGTTAAAGTTCATTGTTTCATTTAGAGAATAAAATGAGATTTTTTTATTTATTTATTTTATTTTTTCAGCCATCACTACGATCCAAACACCTATAGTATCCTTTTCGGAGACAGATATTATCCTCATTTAAAGCTTAACGAAATGTAAAGTATATCTCATCTCGATAATGTACACCCATATAACAAAATGGATAGGTGGTGTACAAAAGAAATGTACTAAAGCGTCAAGACGGACATTAAGATACTACAAGGCACTATATACGTAAAACAATAGTTACAACAGTTCAACAGACAAGATATTCAACCGAAGGTCAAGTAAATGATGTTGATAAAGGTACACTTATAATATTCACAGCTTAGTGACTCAAGGCTACATGTGTGGATTTTTATAGGATGATCAACATGTTGATGCAGATGAACTGAGATGCAAGAGACATTATTTCACTGTATTCACAAACGAACATCTGAAAAGTAAAGAAAATATTATGATCTGTTCAAATATTAACATTCTAAGGTAACACATATTTTATACAAATCCTAACGACTGAAATAAACGGTCAATAGCATCACGAAAAATATGAAATATACGAATTTAGGAACTTGCATTTTATTCTCAATTGTCTCCATTTCTGTTTATGCAATTCACGTATTCCGTTAACATTTCACTATTTCTTTTGAAAAAAAATAAAAATGAAGCAATCCTCACTAAATATGAATTTAATGAATATTTTCTTTTAACATTCGTGAAACAAAGGTCTCATCTTTAAATGCAATTGAATATTATCAGTAATAATAATAGCAGTGTAGCTCAACAACTTGTTTTTTATAAGTGCAATCTTTGCAGATTGTAACAGTATTTTTCGTTATATTGGTCTTCGATTAGTAAATAACAATAAAACGTTCATATTGTTGTGACTTCTGAGGTAGGTGGATGAACAACAACATTAGTTAAAGACATACATGTACATACTGGGAAATCGTATATTTTCGTGGGACACACATTTCTTGGTTTCTCGACAATAAAGCATTTCCTTGGTACATGAATTCGTAGATAACGTGTACCCACTCAAACGGGACATTTATTTTTTATCAAACTTGTGATAACCACTTGGACCTATAAAGTCGTTCTTTCATGATTTCGCTAGTGTTTTGTTATAAAAGATAAGGTCCTCTTCATGCGTTTTGCATTTGAATGAAAAATATGAACCATATATCTGCAGGATCCATAGCTCACTGGCGGCAAAACAATAGAATAATCCATTCAAGGAACTCTCTACTTATTTGCCTGCAGTGAGGCAAGAATCCCTGATTGAATTTGCGATTCATATTTTGTGTTTAGATTTAAAGAATTTTTTATTTGGCGTTCAGTAAGCATACAACGTATGTCCCAATCGATGGATAATTATTTATATTAAACTCGCAATCCGATGATTTCGAATTCACAGTAATTTATTTATTTTATAAATGAATGTCTATCATAATGTGTGGGTATGATGCTCTCCGATGGAAGAGAGAAATTAAAACCTTATACTTGCAATTTTTCAACTTCGTCATATTTTGACGAAGTCATATAAATAGAAACCTTATTCGTTTTGTTTCCAATTTTGTGTTTAAAAAGACAGAAATGAAAGGAATTACTATTTACTCCGGACTGGAGCTGGCTTCAGTTTTCCATTTTGAAACAGTCCACACATATGGTTAAAATATATTTTGGGGATAAAAATTACCAAAAAGTGCTTGAAATTCTTTTGAATAAAAAAATATATTATGAGTATTGATACATGTAAAACATAAGCATAGGAAGATTAAATTGTAGCAAAGGTCGATTCGTGTTTACATAACAGGTACATAAAAGTATTATCATTTAAACGCCGCCTGAGTTGAATAGCAAAAGCATTTGTATAGCATTCAATTGATACATGCAACTGTTAAAAAAAGAATACACTATTAAATCTGGTCTATAAAATAAAGCATTTTGAACACAAAAAATGACATATTCAGAGCATTCGAAAAAGTTGTGATTCGAACATTTAAAATATTTTGATTACCGCAGATATGACTTCACTCTAGTGCATATATACAATGTATAGGTTTTAAACATGAAACAACATTGACAGTGTGTATGGTAACGCATCATTTTCCAATATGAGTTGATTGAATATATATATACTTTTAAGCGCAATTCTTAGCTTAATTATTAAAATCTACAATGAACAAACACGATTAGAAACATATTAACCCACTGTTAAATTGAAATGAACTAGTCTTAACATATCCTCATTCCTTCTTACAGTCTCCAACCGCCCAGAAATAAACGATAAATGTAAATAACTGCATTTGTAAAGGTTTGGTGACAACCCTGAACGCACCATCTGGTTTTGACGTTATTTTTGTCCTAAATTTGAAGGTTTTCTTTTCACTACATATACAGATTTATAGAAATGCCACTTTAAACTTACAAACATACATGACATCTTACTAATGGCCCGAAGTTGTAAAACATATATTACACCAACAATATATTTATAAAGAACGAGCACACATATTTCATGGGTTTTATGACAGATTTCAAGCTCAACATATTATTACCAAGCGCTACGTCTATTATTAACATAATGACATGTAAGATAAAATCACAACTATAAAATATAACGCAAACTGAAAGACCAAACAAAACCAGAAGTACGCTCAGATTTTTCCACCTGCCCTTATTGTTGTTTTTACAATCTATTAACTGTACATGCCCTGCTTAAGTCATGTCGCTGATCTCTGTGTGACACAAATATAATAATTCGCATCATTGAATGCTTTCATATTTCAGAGGAACCTGCAACACTATAGCAGTTTGGTCTAACAAACCATTTCATACTTGTGAAACACTTTAGCATCCGGTATTCCGTTTCGCGTAATGCAGAGTTATCTTCTCTTTTGAGCAGGTATTGATTGTTACGTCATTGGTTTGTGTGAGAAAAATTACGTCGTTTTTCTCAAAAAATGATGACGTTACTTTCACAAACAAATGGTGTAACAATTATTACCTGCTCACAAGAGAAGATAACTCTGCACTACGAAAGGAAGGAATAACAGGACACGTGTATATCCTAAATAACATGTATTCATTTAAATAGTTATATTTTAGATCTACGATATAAAATTGTCTTCAAATGATAGCCACACAAACAAATGCATATAGCATTAGTAGTTAAATTATAACACCATGGGTTTAATAAACAGAATAAAGTGTGGATACATGCATGATTGAATTGATACGACATGCATGTAGAAGATATTCAATAGTTTTCAGCTTAATATTTACGACTTCTAATTTTGTTTTGGTATTCCGCAATAGTATTGATATGTATCTGCTTTTGAACAATTAAACAATTACCCATTTTGTTTATTTCATTCTTTCAGTACAGTGACAGAATAGTTTCTATCAACAAAGTGGCTTTAATAACGTCATGCTTGACAACAAGAATAGAGCACCATTTTAATGAGCTTTGTAAGAGATTCTGTCCGGTTTTTTTTAGATATTAATCAGTAATATTTGATGTTATAACGTTCTATATATTCTCAGTGTAGCTATGGGTAAATTGTTTTTATTTAATTGATTATTTGTGATATATCGCCGATAAAAATATAATTGATATTTACTCCACTTTAACAAATTTATGATATTTTAATTAAATCAGAAAAATATCTATTTACCGATGTATCTTATAAATGTATATCCTTGAGTTCAAATGTGGTTCAGTCGCCCGGTCCTTTGTATGCATTAATAATACCATCTGGTAAAACATATCACTCTTCCATCATATACAACCAATCGTTATATCATATTCGATTTATACCAATCACAACCCGGTCAACTAGCTTACCCATGGGTTATACAATGTCAGACTGGCGGATAAATATCCTAAAAGTAAAAGAAAAGCAAATGGACACAAGGATTCGTCATGCAAATCTCCATTCTAAGCAAAATAAAATTAAAAATATAATTTTGTTATTTTCCAACAATAGGAAACTTTAGATAAAGGATACCACTTCATAGGTTATAAAATGACGAAGAGTTCATCTTTACTCGAGTTATTTCCCCTCTATACAGAAGACCCAACATCCACAAGGTTTTTTCTTACAGAAAGTTCAATTGTCAAGTTTTTCTTTGCATTGCGGCCGATAAATACAGATAACGTGTAGGCTTGTGAATTAACATTCTGAGTTTGTTCCCAGAAGTTTTTCCCTTTTTTATTTATATTTTCCAAATTACGTATTAAAATGACTTCAATTCTCTAGTACTGGTATGCAATAAAACGGGTGATCTTTACGGAATACGCCCTTTGGAAAAGACTGAAACAAACAGTTTACAATAGTGATAATGATTATACCATGGTTTAACCTGGCGGTATCCTTTATCTTAAGGTGGCATTATCATTTAATACGACATATTTTATACCAATTAGTTCAACATTATGTAAAACGTATATATTTAACAAATCCTGAACGTTTGAAAAACAACACTAGACTAAAAGAATATATACATGGTATTGAACACAAAGCAAAAAGGTTGGAAAATGCCAGATATTCCAAATGAATTTCTGTTCACATAAAAGCGTAGCCCAAAACACAATCGTTAATACTTTTAATACAATTAAATTATTTACCGTTATCAACATTAGATCTTTCATCTGATAAAATTAATATTTGATAAAAAGATACCGTGAACGTTCATTTTTAGCGGTGGTCTTATTTAAGCGGTTCTCGCGATTAAAATATTGCGCTATGTTATGAATGCACCAATTGAAGTTCTTGTTTATTGTTTTTTCCTGAATGTTTTGGGAAAGCGCCAAATTGCGCTAAAATTTTAGTGTAATGAAATAAGAACGTACACCAGAACATTTTTGCCCTGTCAGACTTTCGCCATTTACCGATAAAATCCATATTCGGCCATTGTCTATTTTGCCATTCACATGTAAGAACTATATATAGTATGTTGTGTATAAATATTCGCTGTCAGGACGAATTTGACCTCGTTAGTGACGGTGTAGAAGGCGGAAGTTAAAAGGCAGCAAAAGTCTCCCGGTATACCGTAGTTGCTCCAGACCGCCCTGAAAATACTGGATGTTGTATTCGGCTTCTCGTTCCGCAACATTGGGTTTTTACTTGCAGTTCTGTCAGTCTTGGTACTATGTTTAGTCATACGTGGTCCTCTGTTCCCTCTGACGTCACGATTGACGTGAACATTATACACCAAACTCGACATTGTCCCTGATTTGGGCCATTTCGTCAGCCTGCCGCGCACGACTAACATGACCAAGTCGGCGCGGAATTTTACCGAATGCTATGTACAATTTTGGATCTCCAAGTTGTTCACACAGACAATCAAGTTCGTCAAGGTGAGTTTCGATCGTTTCGAGACAGTGTTGTACTTCATAACACCTGAACAGATTCCATAGGCATCTAAACTGGCTTTCCCTAAGTGACCTCATTACTTTGTAGGTGTGCGCCTCCAAAGCACGATTTGCCCTGTCGGTGGTGAAGGAGGGTATTGTGTCAGCAGTAATCCTATCACGATTTGTAGTACCACATGTTTCAGTCTCAAGCAGCCGTACCTCTTCATAGCTTGCTCTGAGTATCTCCTCCTCGGGGGCAACAGCACATGGAGAACTATTTTGAGTTACCGTGTTAATAGCAAACACTAGGTTGTATCCACTTAGACATGCCTCATCCTCACGCATATCCTGCTCTTTAAGGTTATCGATTGCACGTGCAGCAATATCATAGGTACCCTTCAGAAGCGTCACAACAGTATCAGACAGATGAGAGTAATGAGTAAGTTGAAAAGCAAGTCCTTCGAGCAAATACACCTTTTCACTTACATTATAATCTGTAAATTTTGGAAAAGGTAGATCTTTGATTTCCTGGGAAAGTTGATACGACGGACCGATAGCTTCCTGGAGACTTGTGAAGACGTCCGGTAAAAAACTTGAAATATCAATAGAAAGAGACAGTTTCAGGTAGACAGTGAGACGGCACAGGAAACTAACATCTTTTTCTGAATTGGGTATCTCTGCAAAGAAACCACTCACGTCTGTGGTATAGGGGTTGTTCCTGTCAGTTTCAGAGGTAGCAACCGCGTTAAGAATGACTTCAATACACTCAAAGGCCTTCTCTGGACATTGTCTCCGCATAAATTCTTTTGACAAACGCAAAGCTAACGGTAGTAAAACACGCTTGCTGTCGTTATTCGCACCGTGCCCTCCGATAAGTCGGTTACAGAGGTCCAGTTCATTCAAAACCCAAGCGTTCGTTAACTTGTGGTTTTCAAAAAGTTTTTGGAATAACTGTAACGGACTCCTGAGTGTTTCTTGGGATGCTGCTTCTAATATTCCAAAATCTTTGACGGATAGCTTGGTGAGAAGATTCCTGTTTCTTACAACGTAGTGAGGCAGATGTCGGTCGTGCAAGAACTGACCCAGACTCCTAACGAGATAAAGGAAACAGGATCCTGGAGACATCTTCCACATGTGGTTTTGAACCGTGTCGCAAGCGTGGAGGAGGACATGGTCAAGATGCATCAGCAGTTGTGATATCGCAGTGATGCTTTCTTCAGCTTGAGGAATGGTCAGAAGTTGATGCTGCATGACAAGGTGGAAGATATAGAAGCAATGTCGCTGTTCGTTGGTCAATAAATCAGCGAGTCGACGTTCGGCTTCAGGAAATATGAGAAGCCAGTCAATATCATGCCTGGATCTATGTTGCTGTAGGAAAGGCACAACACGACATTCAGTTTTAGTAATTTCTCTTAATGTGTTTTGGTCAAGCCAGTTACTTTCTCTCTTCCTTTCTCTGAACTCTTTTTCGATCTCCGTGGGCCATTGCAAACAAGTAAGACATTGGCGAATTTCATCGCCGCTTTCAACCGTTTGGGTAAAATGTTTAATAAAGCAATTACCTTCGCCTTCAATATCCATGGAAAAATGAGCCCACTGTTCCCATGTGGCAGGGCATGTCGGTATCAGTCGAACGAGACCAGTTCCCGCAGAGACGACCGTGAGAATGGCGTCTTGAGGAGTGACATCGGGTCCTTCTTCGCTATATACCCAACAACGTGGATTTCTGATGAGAACGTTGAGAGGTTTCAGAGCGTTCTGTAAGATGGAACAGGCTTTGCATGTTTTAGATGTTTCCAGATCACTGATGAAGCATGCAAGACCATTTGCGCCTTGACCACAGAATTCAACGAAGCATGCAAACAAAGGTGACAATATCTTTCGGAAATATCCGATGTTGAAGAGTTTCACTTCCTTTGGTGATATGAAATGCTTTAAAGTAAACGTTAATAAAGCCGCTGGTGTCCCGAAAGTGAAATCTTGATATGAAAATGTTCTTGGGGTATATTTTGGGTAGAAAAGAGAAACGTGACCATCTTTTGGTCTGCAAAGACGAATTACGGGAGCATGTTTTGGAGGATTTTCATCTGCCGCAGGTGTATTTTCCCCCAAAAGCATGGAATGATTCTGGCCAACTGTTTCACGACATGATGGCTGAGGTATGTGCATGCCTCTGTTTTCGTTTGACTTAAACTCCATCTGTGCAACTGGTTCAGAAATTGCAATAGATTTTGGAGGTGATTTTGGTTTACATCCTTTCACAGGCGAGTTGGTAGAAGGAAATCCATTGGGCGCAGAAACAGGACGGAAAGGGTAGAGCTTACTATACGGAGGATGACATGGAGAACCAGTCCCATCAAAAGGTTGCGAGTCTGTCTCCTTTAGTGAACTCCTACACGCACCTGAATCTGAGGTTACACAGCTTTGGCCTGATGCCAAAGAGCTGTTGTCGGGAGAACTTTGGGACTTATCCATGCTTGCAGTCGATTCTTGTTCTTCCATTGCAGACGTCTCATCAGCTTCCTCCAAAAATTTGTAATAGCGCTCTGTGGACTTTTCGGAAGCTTGAAATCCTGTTTCTGCAGAAAATACTTTGTTTTTAAATGGTGCAACAGAATCTTGTACATTCTCTCCTGTAAGAGATGGTTTGGAATCAAGAGGTTGATCTAAAGAATTTGCAATTGGCTCTGGAAGCAACATTTCAGCAGTAATAAAGGCGAAGTCATCTGTCAAGTTGGTAGTACACTCTTGTTCTATAAGATTTACATGACATAGCTCGGGATTACATGTGGAGCTCCCAACACCGTTTGTCTTGTCCGATAACCAAGGGGGAGATTTTCTATCACAACCTGCCCACGGTTTGTCGTCGTTCTCTCTGGGAGCAGGCATGTGGTCCAAAATGTGGGTCTCTCCTGTAAAGATATCACTGTAACAGGTCACTTATATATAATGGGAGAACATTACTCCTATTAAAAGCATTATTGTTACAACAAGTCACTAACATTGTCAAAACAAGATCCTTGCAAGCTACATTCATTATCGGTCTAACGATGTTAACCTGGCCCATTTACAAAACAGTTGTATCGGAAAAAAAGGGGGAAGGTTAGTGTGTATATATAAAAAAACATTGGAATTCTCTATTGTTTTGAATGCAATGGGAAAGGGATCCGTTAACTGCCAAATTAAAATGACTGTGTATAAATCAGACATTATAAAGTCTGGATTAATTTGAGACTCGTCGGTTTTGTAACGGCTGTTTTCGGTCACAAATGAAAGTGCACACAAAATACACAAAATCAAACAATAGCTGTTTCTATATCTTTTTGCTTTAAATGTGAACTGAAGTACATTTTTGTACAAACGATATGTTTATATACCACAACAAAGCACCACGGTACGAAACGAACTGTTTCGTTCGAGTACTGAACAAACGTGTGTCGTCATATATTTCGCTCTGATATTGAATTATAAATCACCGTGGAACACAAAATGTGTTTCTTTTGAGCATCATACAGAAGTGCTCCGTTGTATAAACACGCCGTATGTATGTTTCATTTGAGTACGGCACTGAAGAATACTGTGTTATACACACGAATCATCAATTCTTTAAATGTGTCCAGCACTCTTCGACCATCGTTGAAAATAAAACCTTGCAAACAGCTGTACATGTATATAACACAAAGAAACCTTATAATTTATCAAAATAAATTTGTTTCAAAGAAGATAAATTAAAACCATTACAGGATTCAACGACTATGTGATCGAAAGGATACTCACCCGTCGCACCGCCATGAATGTCGTCATCTTCATCTTCAGTCATCTTTAGATTTCTGGTGAAAAGAAAAAAATATGTATGCAACGAGACACAAACATATTCGTGCATAACTTGCCTGAAGTATGATCAATCACAAAAAATCCTATTCAGCAGAAAAAAGCCATTGAAACATGAATAACGATCATGTCACGAGACGAATCATATGCGCGTGCCAGTTACACGGTTGTATCATGTAACCTACAAATCGGGAGCAGCGTTATTTATAAAATACTTAGGAAGCGTATTAGAACAAAGTACCAGTTCAATTAACAACTACCACATGTATGTTAATTACTTGATAGCAAAGTACGAGGCGTTCCAATAATTGTTAAGAGGCGTTTCCCTCATTTAGAGGACTCACACAACTAAATCAGCCCACCAGTGAGTGTTTCATACGATTGTAATCGCTACCTAAAAAAATATTCTGGCCTAGTACAGTGCCTCTGAGTAATTCAAATAGGTAAGTGTTGACATATTTTACAATGAATGCAATCTACAGATATATTCAACTTTAGACAGGGGGTGTTCCCGTCCCACTTCACCAGTTTGGCTTGTAAACTTCCGGTTGTCAAAAGCAGACGCCTGTAGCACTCTTATATGCCACTTAACTCACCAAAAATGCCTTTTGGAACCTTTGTCACTAGTGTTGAACTGCAAATATTAACGCTATTAGCTCAAAAGCTTAGTAATAATATACAGTAAATTATTTAGTTTTGTGAGTCCTTAGAATGAAGATGTTTTATTAAATAATTCATTACGTAAGCGTTACTAAATTATATAAGACAGGTTTCATAAGGATCAAAAAAAAAAAAAAGCATGAAATTTTCCAAATAACGTATTATGAAGATATATATTTACGTTCGTCAGTTGCAATTTTCAGGATTTTGTCTGTTCTGAGTTTACTCTTATACAAGTACGGATTAATTATTTACTCGACGTTCTGGGTCATAATTTAATCACTAGTAATGTAGATCATAAATTAGAAAGTACGAATGTCTTGTTCACAAATCTCATTCAAAAGTATAAATACATATTCGAATATGTAGATTACTAATTTAATAGATATTTGTAACTATCATATAAAGATTAACAATTATATCTAATGTTGTCTGGTAATTACACCGTTAAATGTTGATTACTTATTTAATTAATAAATGTAACTATCACATAAAGATTTACAATCATATTTGATATTTTCTCGTAATTGCACGTAATTAATTGATGACCTATCTAATGGATTCATGTAACAATCACATCAGGACAAACATACATTTCTATTTGATATTTTTGCGTAGTTAGACCGTAACTGGTTGATTTCTAATTTAATGCATACATGTAACTACACTTGTATCAAATAAGAATTAACATTTGTATTTTTGTATACGTGTTCTGTTCACTTGAGTTTTGACGCTGAAACTGAGTTTGTTGAACCTACGGAATAAGCCGGGATCGATACAATACACGAACAGATAAAATTACTTATACGGTGTAACATATCATAAATTATACAAAAAGTCTTAAAGATCAGTTTTGTGAAAATTTATTAGCACAAGTTAAGTCAAAATTCACTGACTGCTTAGATCAATTAAGATAAAATAAAATATGATTTTATCATACACTGATGTATAGAAAAACAAGCAACAACATGATATTTAATATAAGAAATGTAGCGTTCCGCAGGCATGACCTTACTATAAATATAATAAAAAACAAACAGTCCTTAATCGCTTTCTACATTTAGACGAATTAAAATCGATCTGGCACACTAACCGAGTTGTGCACATGTACAAGTGAACTATCATTGATGATTAAGTAATACATCATTCACTAACGTTCAACCTTCACGGTGTTTACGTTCAAAACACCTAAATTAATTTAAGNCCCCTTTATTGCACTGCAGAAGCCTTATATTATATAATAAATATTTTTAACTATATAACAATTTTTAGCAGAGGAACTGATATTATCGTCTTACTTCCAAAAAACGAGATTGTCATTCTTCTTGGATTAAATGTGTGCTAGTTTTTTTCTTTTTTTAATGCATTAATAAAGTGAACATACTAATTTGAATTTACGAGTCATTTATTTGAAGCAAATCTTATGCACTCTCCAAACTCAATAGAATGTCAAAATTACGGGTTAAAACTAGAACAGACTGTAAACGTTAAGCGTAAAATATCAATTTTGACGGCACTTTTCGCGCTTTAAACACTGCGCTAATTCATGATTTTTCTTTTACATATATATTGGGAGTGCGCTCATTCATTAACGCTCTGATCTGATAAAACGCTTATATTTGGGTCATCCGCGATACTCAGGGGCTACGCTCACTTACGCTTTCTACACTCCTGCCTCCAAACCGTACATTGTCTCTTGTCAATATCTCTTCATGAATTGTTCATAAGGAGTAGCAAGCTATATCATCACGAAGAAGTATGTGACGAGGTTATACAAAAAACTTTCTTCACTAAATTGTCCCTTTAAAGATAACAGAGGAGTGACATCCGACTTCAAAGCCGGTCAAGTTAACCATTACGCTACTTCGGGATTCTTTTGGTGGTGTACATCAAAGGATCAAACTTATATTTTTGCATCAAGATGGCGCACACAGTCTTCGATATTGTCAGGACATATCCCAGCGGTGTAGAGAGCGCAGGTGAGCATAACCCCTTGAGTATCGAAAATATCTAGGTCCGCTTAAATAGGTACTCTTACAGTATTCTAACATTCACAACCAACATAAATCTAGAGGGTGGATATATAACAGTTTTGAAAGTACGGCTTGATTATTTACTAAAAACATACAGTTTATTATACAAAAGTGCAAATACCTCAGTCTAATGTATGGGTTATGTATTCGAATATATAGATTACATTTTCAATAGTTCGAGCGTAATGGTACATGTACCTATAAATGACTTAAAGATAAACAACTCCATTTGATGTTTAACGTATGTGTAACCAGTAGGCACGGATATGTCACTGTGATATCAAGCACAAATTATCAGTTCGGTAGAGTTTGGACTTCTGATCCACAGGAGGTCGGTTTCGGGATTTTGAGTAATACATAAGGTAAATTTGTAATAATTGCGGTTAATTATACACATCGGTTGATAATAGCAACACTTTTTTCCGGTGTTTATACATATTCTAAAACTTCATAAAAATCGTGGGTACCTAAACACCTGATAAAAAGTGTTGCTATCATTTATTCATGTGAATACGTGGATAATTAATTGAAGTTAGTACAAATTACGTCATATAGTATTCAAAATCACGACACTGTGCCCCTGTGTATAATCTGATCAATGTCATGTATAGTGATTATCATAATGAGGGACTACGTCTCCCACATGTTTTAACTTTTTGTCATGAACTTAAGATGTATTGGATTAAAACAAGTATTTACCCCTCAAATCAGGCAGCATGGAAAACACTATTATTAGAGAAACTAGAGTGTTTTGGAGGCGATTATTTTTTTTAAATGACGAAAGAAGGATTAACATTGTTAGCCAAAAAATGTAATACCTTTTGAATGGAAGTGTTTACGGCTTGGAAGAAAATATGTCCCCCACAACCCCAGTATTTTTTGTTTCTGATTTATTAATCAATTCATGTCTTGTGATATTTTTTCTCAAAAGTATAATATTAATGTTACTTTTATAGATTACTATGGAGTTATTAATGCCATACCAAGAAATTGGAAAGACGTTTTGCAGAATATAAATGGTGACATACCTTGAATAACTTATTAATCAATAAACTATCTTAATACACATGATCAAGTTAACAATTATCTCTATCATATTCTTATCCAAACTATCTCTGAAAACACAAATGAATAGTCAAAGAAAATGGCAAGAAGAACTCATCATAATATTAGTGAAGAATCTTGGGAATCTTTTAACTCGATTCCAAGGGCCATAACTGATGACACAAAACTTATTAACTTTCAGTATAAAATCATATACAGGATCATCTATACCAATATAAAATTAATGAGATGCAAATGAGCTGGAACTGAAAGATGCTGTTTTTATACAAATGAGAGAAAAACTATTATGCATCTTTTTGGGGAATGCAGTATAGTAAAAACATTTTGGTTACGCTAGAACATAAGTACCAAATTACCTTGCCCAGGCACCCAACAACCTTTAGTTTTGGTGTAGTAGAAAAAGAACACAGAGACGAAATTAATTTTGTATTACTCATTATAAGATACTATATATATTCATGTAAATTAAAAAACACTGCTCCTACCATTTTGGAAGGGAAAACATACCTGAACTTTTATAATAAAATAGAAGATATGGGTCTTTATGCCTATCATAACAAAAAGCAAGAAATATGCAAATATATCAAATGCAAATGGAACTATATCAATCATTTACTAACTTAATTAAGCTGACATCGTTTATATATTTTGGTTCAAGTCTTTAAAGCTATATATTCCTGTCGGAAAACTTCACGTCTAAATTTAATCAAAATAGCAATGATCTGTCTTACTTACAGATGTCATGGTACTCTGTATTTGTCTTTAAAAAACGTGAAATATCCGGATGGAAATCATCGTCGAATACCCACGGTTGAGTGAGTAACGAAGCGAAATCAACCGTGGGTATCCGACGATGGATGGAAATATACTCTAAATTAATACAAACTATGTACATACAAGAGAAAACAGTTAGACTGATATATATACCGATTCTGATTGATATAATAGTTACAGAACGAATATATGTATATGAAACAATTGTAATGTTTATGTTAACGTAGTAAAATGTGATTATGAAAAAAAGTTGAATAATAAAAAAAAATCTGATTAAGCCCACATCTTTTATTCCATCCACTCGGAGTATCGGAGTCGAATAAAATATCTGTTATAAATAAGATTGTGCACAAATAAGAAATAACATGTGGGCAATTTGCTAAAATCTGCGCAATAGTCAGCGTTGACATAATATACGAGCAGAGGACAGATAAATAAGAATTATCATAATCTATACAACATGTCTGAAACGCCAGACCTATTGAATATATGCTTCCACAAGTTAAGTCAATAGCCCGGTTTCCACTGCATACCAATTCATTACCCCCTCCCCTATTCCCGTACTTATTCTATTGTACATATTACTTCATTCTTGTAGCTAGTGTTGAAAAGTTGATTACTAAGCAGGTAACAAATTTACATAAGTGTCACGACACTTGTTTTTGTTTCCTTTCCTGTTTTATAAAACATGTACTTCGATGTATTGTCAAACAAAATTTGAATAAAACAAAATTTAAACCAAGTCAATATTGACTGGCTCTTTTAATCAATTAATATAATCTAGCGTATAAAATAAAATATAATTGTATCAGGCATTGCTGTATATAAGAAATGTAGCGTTTTGTTAAGCATTACCTCACTATAGAATAAATATTTCCCACCCACAGTCCTTAATCACTTTCTATTTTTAGACGAAATAAAATCGATTTGGCACACTAACCGAGTTGTGCACACGAACATGTGTCTATCATTGAATATGGAGTATTACGTCATTCACTAACGTTCAACCTTCACACTGTATACTGCTAAAACACCTAAATGTATTTAAGGCGACGGATACGTTTCATTTATATTCAGAAAACTATTTTTAGCTGAGGAACTTTACGAAACATTACGAGTAAAATGCATAGAAGGTACATGTAATTCAGGTAGTATTTATAAGGACCAAATCCTATTCAGAACGCAAATAAAAACAATGGTAACATAGTATCTATATATATATATGCAAACATCAAACATAACGCAGCGCTTCATCAGTTTATTATAAAATAAAAACTCATGACACTGCAAGTTAGTATTTTTTATAATCAAATATTAATTACTATATATATATATATTACTTGGGGCAAAGAAGAAATTCCAACAGTGAATACTTATATATATTACTTAGTATAATGTTGATAAAAAGGTACATTAACTTCTAATATTATACTATAACAAAGGATTGATAAAACATGGAGCATAAGGGGCCACTTCACAACAGATCATAGTATCATTCAGTGTTTTTTTTTACCTAAATTTTACAAAAGCCTGTTTCTTTATTAATTTGGAAAATACAGCATTATTTTTATTGAAATTGGGAATACATTTCTCATTTTGTGGTCATTTTGAAAATATAAGGCACATTTTAGCTGGTATTCGGCTGGAAAAGTATTCGTGGTAAAGCATTTTTTTAACACAAGTTATGCGTTTCAATTATCTGATAACAAAAAAATATTGTTTAAAAAAAAGTAATATAAAGTAGAAAAAAATATTTAAGCAATAAACATAAAAAAGGAAAAAAAATAATTAAAGAAAAATGAATTCCGTTCCTGCTTAGTCACGTTCTATTTTTAGACAAAGCCGCTCTATATTACTAAGGCTAACACATAGCATTAGCTGTGCATTTAAAATGTATTGCGTCATTCGCAACACAGCACTTTATTGATATTAAATTCAAAACACACTAAACTGCTGAATATTAATTAGTGGATTTCAATTCATGAAAAAGGTTGTTCAGAATTTTAAAACTTCACATACTAGCTGAGCAATTGATTCGATGCATTCGATTAAGTCTACGTTTTTAGCCTGGTTTCCGGTTGGCGTATTGGGAAAAGCAGATATTAGACAATCATACAATACACAATAGATATCCTTATTAGTATGAAAATGTAAATAGCAGAAAAAATCTTACCTCCGGACTCAATTTGTAGAGCAGTGGTATCCTGGTGTTAAATACATCCTGTCAGCGAACTGGAAATTTCCAGACAGCCTAGTGACCTCCTTCGATCGGTAGCTGTGTTGTGTTTTTAAATGGAAATCACCTTTTCTAAAAATAACTACATATGTTAAACTGCACGTAGGCCTCTCGATTCAAATACATTACACGTAATCATTTCATGATATATTTAAGGCAGATATATATTTGTGAATATTCTCACATCAAGAATTAAGCTATCCTTCCTTTGATAATATAGATTATAGGCACACATACATCATGTATATTCTGGGGATTTTCACGCCAAGCAGTAGGCGTGTGTGAGTGTATGTACGTTTTGGCGGAGCGCGATTTCATCTATGCTCTGCATAATACGGCTGGAAGTTTGCAATTGACACACACACAGAGATGAATGACACTAAAGATTCGACACGTAATAAACAATGTGATACCAAAGTGAATGTTAAAATACTACTGTACAAGTGTAATATACAGACATGCTAATACAGCAAATGGTAAACATGACTTTATATACATGTACACTAACATAGTGTATCTTAAAACAGCGTTTCATATACTATAAGGTAACTCCGTAAAGAGAAAAATCTAATAGTAACATCATTATTTGATGTAGATTATATATTAATAACAGGAAAAAAAACTAAAAAATGTTACATAATTACATTTTAGCACTAAAAGTGTTAAAACGTGAACCGGAAGAGGTGCCACAGATTGAACAGCTACAGTTGGGTCCACTCCATGTTTGGATCATTCTCTTGAATCCCGGAAATTGTCTACCTTCCGGAACTCATTTGGGAGAGTGTTCCACACCCTAGCAGCCTCAGAAATAACAGATTTCTGTCCATATATGACTGTGTTAACCTCAGCAACCTCTGTTACATTCTCCTGTCTCAAGTCATAATTGGTGGACTTGGTGGACTTAGGTTTTATAAGATCATGGATAAAATCTTTGTAACAAAATGGGCTATACGCGTGTTGTGTAACGTCAGGAAAAGGTTGTTCAGAATTTTAAAACTTCACATCCCATATCCTTAAGTCTTCTCACATGTTAAAATTCTGCATTTGACAATATTAAACGATCAGTAGAGAAGAAGATATAATCACTGTGGATAAAACGAAGGGCATGCTCTTGTATCTTTACAATGTTCTTAGTACTCCTTATTCTGGTGAACTGCTAGACTAGAAGGCAGCAATTAAAATGCACACAATAAAAGATATGTATACAACACTCCTACCTTGTTTCGTTAAAACAAAATTCCTAATCGCTTTAAAACAGCTAGTTGTCAATAGACTTTCTTTACAAAGTTCAGAGATGTGAAATTTGCCAAAATGTACTCCGAGTAGTTTTAACGACTGCTTCATGCTTAATGTTTACATTTCCAAAATATTAAAACATTTAAAAGCATCAACAGATCTCTTTCCTTTTTTCGGGATAAGTCCTCATAATTTTGATTTGTTTCAAACCATTCCATTAAATGTAGACATTTTTTTTCTAGATTTGTTTTTTAACCTTGAGGGTCTCTGGTTGTATCACTTACAGTGCTGTCATCAGTATTACACATAACATATAAAAACATGTAATTTACAAAAATGTAAAACAGTGCAGGACCAAGTATAGATACTTGTGACACTCCCTTCAGCACTTCCAACCAGTCACCTCACTAAAAGCAGCCTCACCAGCTGTATTCTGCTGCTCAACTAGCGTGATACCAGGGCCCGTATTCATGAAACCGTTGTCATGCTCAAGCGTGGTTTTTGTGCTCAAGCCAAATTTCATATTTCATTTATAAATTAATAATTTTGATTTTTTCAACGATTTGGAAAAATAAAATGTAGAGAATTAATTCAAATTACTCTTTTCAATGTAACATTTTATATTTTGATTGTTTGACATGATTTAAGTGAGTGATTACAATCAAGCTGGTTTGAAAATAGAATCCATGCTTGAGCATGAAAACGGTTTCATGAATACGGACCCTGGTTTACGGAGCTAAGACCATAGACATCGAGCTTCTGGATCAGCAGGCTAAAAGGAAGACAGTCAAAAGTCTTGGACAAATCCATCAATATGGCAGCGACATATTAATGGTTGTCCAGGGCCTTAATATTCCATCTTTGTGTATTGCAGAGTTATCCTCTCTTGGGAGCAGGTATTGATTGTTACTTCATTGGTTTGTGTGAGAAAATTACGTCGTTTTCTCAAAAAATGATGACGTTACTCTCACAAACAAGTGACGTAACAATCGATACCTGCTCCAAAGAAGAGATAACTCTGCAATACGCAAAGACGGAATATGATGTCAGCTGATCCTTCATAGATCTTTCAAAGAGTATGTTTGCAAGGATTGCTTTCTAATTTTTGTAACAAGATTTTCACTGTATTTTGTAGGTTTCTTAAAAAGCATACGTTTTTTTCTTTCTATATAGCCTATCTTAATTTTGCGTTAAGAAATGGACACTTCTTTATGCCTACTGCCTTTTCTTTGATAGAAACACACTTCTCAATACCATCTGTGAGGAGTTTCTCATGGGCCCAATAGTTTTTCCACATCTTAAAAAAAATACGTAGAATGGAATGGAATTTTACTGACGTCTTCACTAAAACGTTTCTCGTGAAACTTTAAAACTTCTCAACCTGGTTTTATCTTTAGACACACAGGTTGAGTCATTCTCGACACTCCAGGAGTTACGCTCACTTTCGCTCTCTGCGCAGCGAAAGTGAGCGTCATCCCTGGATATCGAGGATGATATTGAGTCTTACCTTTAAAAACAGTACAGAGCATGTTGTGCCAGTCACTGAGACCACAATTAAAAGAAAATGAGCTAAATATATAAAAAGACTGTTACACAAAATGACATAAAACAGAGATATATTGTACACAACGTTTAGAAAAAATCATGTTCAGTCGGTGACTGCATGTGTTCTGACACCAGAGGTTATGTTCGAGTACTATTGGGGTAGGTACTTGTTCATGTAAAATACATGTACCGCGAGAGGAGCAGAAAAAGAGGAACAGATGTTGTAAGGTTTTTTTGTTTGGTGTTGGGTTGGGTTTTTTTTTTTTTTTTTTTTTTTTTTGTGGTACTAAGATATTTAAGACTCTGCAGATCGGATATCGGATAGAGGCAAATGTTATCGCTGTTTCTTTTATTAATACTTTTTTCATGTCCAACGAACAGAGATGTAGGGATAATGCAGCTTTTTGTATAAGAGTTGTTTCCCTTAGGCCACTATATTTCTGTAGCTGTATCTCACCAATAATCAGTTCAGCAAAACGGCATTTTTCCGAGGTTGTAAATGACTTTGAGCCATTACTTTTTTACAGTCGACTGACAAGTCTAGATATGGTGAAGCCTCATTAAAACTAGAAACAGGAAGGTATGAAATAATACAAGTAGAAAAAAATGTTTTAATTGAATCGCGATGTGGAATCGGAGAAATGAAATGTCTCATAATTCTTAATCTCAGATTGGTCATCAGATATATATATGTATACTAAAGGTTATTTATCAGTTTTAACTCTTCTGCTTTTTCACATGTGTTTTCAATTTAGATTTCAACCCATTTTTTTGACAAAAAGAAGTCCTCCCCTTATAGCAACAATCCAGCGGTGAACATGTTATTTACATACAGTGTATAAAGGACAAATTATATTTTAGATAAAGGGAATCTAACTCTTCCAAAGTAGATTAATAATATACTCAATTTAGATATTGATACAATTTGTAAAAACAGTCATTTGCACTGAGGAGTGTGGGCCTGGCTTCTGTGTAAGTTTAGATATTGTTCACTATGGCAGTTTCTTTGTATATTTGTTGTTTTGTTATTTGCCTTCAAGTTACCATGTAACTATATAAGAATGTATATACTCAAATATTCTATCTAATTATAACGTTAAGCTAACCATGCGTAAAACAATGACCCTTGGTTTATGACTGTCAATAGCTTTCGTATACAAAGAAAGGCCATCACCTTGGTTAACTCCAACAAAATATTTAAAGTATAACGTACAGAGACGTGTCACCTTCTAATAATACACTACTGTCAATCCGTTTCTCTGCAATAATATTTTCAATACTAATATTTCTTAACTTATACTGTAAAACACAAATTTATGTGTGTCAAAACGAAAAACAAAAGAAGAAAAAAACAATAGAAAGAAAGAGGATTAAGATATGTTTTCAGTTCGAAGCCGGTTAGTGACACATGAACTAAATATTTTGATGTCGTAATTACGACTATTTTTTTGATGTCGTAATTGCGACCAAGTATGTCGTAATTACGACTATTTGTTTTGATGTCGTAATTACGAGATGGCAATGTCGTAGTTACGACATACTAAGTCGTAATTACGACATACACAATTTCACTTCATGTGGCACTAACCGGCTTCCGTATTTTAGAGAAGACAGTCGAAATCAATGTATAATTGAAAGCCTACAGGGCTTTAGTCGTTTCGACCATATTGGCATTTTTGAACTGGACGGACTGATTGTGTAGTGAAAGTAATTCAATAGAATCGTTCGTCATGCTTTTGAAAGTTTTTGGTGTATTTACTTGGTCAACATACAAACGGATGACACTGGTAGGGGCCACTAGTGTGTCGAGTGGTATTACACAGCTAATACAAAATGTTCTGCTCCTCATGAAAATCACACACACATGTAGCCAACCATTATAATGAAAATGGATTTTAATTTCATCGGGTCAGTACTCTCGCTGACAGAGAAACGAGACCGAATACGGTTTTAAAATATCAAGTAATTGACATATTTGTTCAATTTCGATTATTAATTGAGGATCCCTGTACCACTGTCAAAAAACACTTACTTTACATTACACGTTTTTCTGCTTGACTATAGCTTTATAATAGAAATAAAGAGAAAAATGCATAAAGATGAAATAAACGGGAAAAAAGTATGAAGAACAGTGTTCTGAGTGTTAAAATGCAACAGGGTCAGATTCGAACCCTGTGCCTCTGATCAACAAAGCTGGATCTAACTAGATGAGCTACGGATGAAGGTTACTGTATGTACGAAAAGCTACAGGAAAA